CTGCCACCAAAAAGGTTGGGGTTTTCACAGTCCATTACTTTTATGATTCGTTTTAGGATTAAAATGTTTTGTATTTGTACTCCTGTGGCTTGGCAATATAATTTAGGCAATGTAAGTATTTTTAAAATAAGGTTGATATTTTAATCTAGCTAAAATGCATAAAAAACAGTAAAATCAATAATTTGATCATTTCCTATATTTGGAAAATATTATTTGGCTATGTTTTTCAACAATTTGGTGAAAGAAATTTTCATTAGTTATTAAATTATGGCTATATAATGATGTACAAATTACCTCATCTCTCCGTTCTTTAGATTCCTCAACTGTAAAAGGGTAAAATTTTTTCACTTACAATTCATAATGATTTATGATATTAATGAGAAAATGTGTATAAAGTGCTGGGGAAAGAGCCAGGCATGTAGTAAGTATCCAATAAATTATGTCCTTTATTATAATTTGTCCTTTTCTGTGTTTGCTTCTTTTCAAATCGAGTTTAAATGCCATGTTTCAGTATTTCAACTGCTCCCTAATTAAGTTCTTACCCCTTTACCTCACTGTTCATATACTTCACTTGCTTATGCAAACCCCAGGCCTGACCGAAATCAAACCGAAAGCCTCTTCAGACCCACGATTGGGCTTCCAAGTATAGTTATGGGAGGGAAGAAATGGTACAATAGTCACACAGATTGTAACTTCCAACTTCAACCACACTTCAATGCAGCTTCTATATTTATTTCCTTGATCTCCTCTCTGCCATAGCTTCCACACAAATATATAAAAGTTATCCAATCAACAAGAATTGCCTTTCTGTCCCATCTCTCAACAGGTGACAATTTCCATTTTTTTTTTTAAGAAAACAAGTCAAACATCTTGCCACCAAACCAATACACTTACCTGCATTTGCATTTTTAAAAAATATATTTTATTGATTTTTTACAGAGAGGAAGGGAGAGGGATAGATAGTTAGAAACATCGATGAGAGAGAAGCATTCTGCCTCCTGCACCCCCCTCCCCACCACACTGGGGATGTGCCCGCAACCAAGGTACACGTCCCTGACCAGAATCGAACCTGGGACCCCCCAGTCCACAGGCCGACACTCTATCCAGTGAGCCAAACCAGCTAGGGCTGCATTTGCATTTTTTACAGTGAAATCGTTGTCCCTCATACAATCTAAGATAATCTTCCAACTCTATTCAATATCCCATTCATTTCCCATTCCGAATGAGATGGAGCTCTAACCTAGATCTAACTACTTGCTGGCCTTCTACTCTTGGATGAGCCACAAGACTCTTAAATGAACACATTATGTTTCTCACCTCTCCACCCCCTCAACAGAAGATGTAGCAAACACTTTCCAGTAAACAATTCCATTGTTTAAAGTAGTTTCTAACTTCACTATACATAAAAAAGGATACACTCTAAGAAGACTAGCAAGCCACTCAAACGTTTACATCCTGCCTACTATTGCAAGTCTAAATATACATGACATTTCAAACTGCAAAGAATTGGCAGACAATACCCAAACAAAACTACTGAAACAGAAAATATAAAATGAAAATCAAAACTTTCCAGTAAGTTTCCCTCACACAAAAATAAACACAAAGCAGAAGACAACTGTAAAAAAGTGCTGCAGCCTAGATTAACAATATACAAGCATTTTCAGATGTTAAAAAAGAAATATATAAAATAAGAATTAAATTAATTCAAAAAGTGAGTTGAAAAGACAAAATCATCTTGGATATATATGATTACTAGAAACCAAAGGGAAATAGATTTAATTTTAAATTTAAAAAGGCACTGAGGAGAGTCCCGGCTGGGTGGCTCAGTTGGTTGGAGCATCGTCCCATACACCAAAAAGGTTGTGGGTTTGATTCCAGGTCAGGGCACATACCTAGGTTGAAGGTTGGTCCCAGATCAGGGCATGTACTGGAGGCAACTGATAGATGTTTCTCTCTCTTTCCCCCCACTTCTTCCCTCTCTAAAATCAATAAAAACATATCCTCAGGTAAGAATTTTTTTTTAAAAAGGCCTTAAGGGGAAACTAAACATACCCCATAAAAATAAAAATTTTAAAAAGATAAAAAGGATGAGAAAGTGAAAGAGACAGAAGACAGCCAAAGAAGTCTCAACATACCTATAAACCAAAACAATGTAAAAAAAAGTTCTATTTAAAACTAAAAGAGAGGACATTCCAGAATTACAAGAAACACTGAATCTACTTATTAAAAGTATTTTGGGATACCTGAAATTCTTAACTCTGATACATAAATTATGCTATTGGACTTTAAACATTAAGTTAAAAATTAAAAACTCTCTGGGCTTCCATACAAAAACACAAAGCCACTTACAAAGGAAAGACAATTAGGCTGGCATCAGTAATGTACATGACAATAGTGGAGCAACATTTCCAAGAAATTCAAGGAAAAAAGGTGAGATAAGGGTTTTATAATAGCTAGCTAAGTTGTCATTCAAGTAACAAGAATATAGAAGAATATGTTACAATATAAGAATTTAGAGAATACTGTATTTGCAAGCCCTATATAAGGAATACAGTCATAGAAGAGAATTTTCATTAGACTTAAATTATGACTATGAAATATTGGTCAAGGGGCTGGTGATGAATCCTAAATATATTTAACTGCTGATCTGAAAGAAAGGTGAGCAAAGACTAGAAAAATAGTTTCTAAATATTATATGATCTGAAAAAGTAGAAGTGATATAATTAAACAAATAAGGAGAATGGGAAGGGGAGAGTAGAGTAAGTTCATTAATTGTAACATAGATAACATGGTTATCACTTAAAATTAACAAAACAAAACAAATATTAGATGCCTAAGTAAGGTAAAGGGGGACTAAGGGAATTCTGAAGTGTTTATAGACTACAAAAGGCATTAGTATAAAGACCATTCGTAGTTAGTACTGCTATATGGTATATTTGAAAGTTGTTAAAATAATAAATCCTAAAAGTTCTCATCACAAGAAAAATATTTTTTTCTTTATCTTTTTCGTATCTATATGATGGATGTTAACTAGCCTTAATATATGTAAGTCAAATCATTATGCTGTATACCTTAAACTTACAAAGTTTTGTATGTCAAATATCTTAATAAAACTTAGCAGGGGGGTGGGGGACAACTAGAAAAAATACATATAAATCTTCCTAAATCCCAAAGAAAACAACAGACCAGATGGAGAAAGAAGCATAATAAATATAAGATAATGAATGTAGTAAGTATAACAAAATTCTAACATCAGTAGTATGACAAAGACCAAATCTATTAGCCTAGGAATAAAAATAGATTCAATTAATCTCCTAAAAGAAAAATATTTCAGATTGCTTTGAAAAAGCAGAGATCAACTTTATGCTGGATATGAGAAACAACTAAAATAAAGAGATTCCAAGAGCTAATGCTAACACGATAGAAGGACAGGCAAAGGTCTAGTAAGCAAATAAAGATGATCAGAAAGGAGAAATGCAATCCTGTTATAATTCAATGTCAAATTCAAACTAAAAATTAATAAAGGAGACAGAAAATGAAATTTTAAAGTGCTAAAGACACACTTTAAAAGTGTTAAAAATGTTAAAAATGGAGATGTAACAGTTATAAATATCTATGCAAGAAATAACATAAAAAAACCATACCTTCATGAAACAGAAGATGGCACTAAATAGGAGACCATCATACCAATAAGACACCGCCCTTCCCCAGACAGGTCATATGCACTCATCATACAACCCAGCTATTCTAGATATCAACATCCCACCCCCAAATTAAAACATTTCCAACTCAGATGTCTATAAGAATATTCATATCAACATTCTTAATTATCAAATATAGGAAGCAAGTCAAATGTTCATCAACTGATGAATGAAAATAACAAAATATCATATAACTATTTACAATAGCATCAATAATATTATACACTTGGGAAAACTAACAAAATACATGCTACTCCTTTATAAAGGAAACTATTAAAAATTTTAGAGACATTTAAATAGGACCTAGATAAATTAGAAATATTCCATGGATAAAATAAACACAAACACATACACAGCTATTTTCCCTTTCTTAACCATGTGATCAAATTTGGTATTACCAGGACAGATATTATGTGCCTCCTACTGGAATGTAATAGAAAGCATAAATTATCACCTATATTGTATTGCCAAAACATTTACCCTGAATGCAATCATAAAGAAACATTCAGACAATATTTTTAATATTGATACAATAATAAAAAGGGGTCACCTTTAGATTGAAAGTCTAAAGAGTCATGTCATCTGTGATAGGTAATTTTATATGTCAACAAAATAAGTTTATGTATTAATATTATGTGACTAGGCAATAGTGCCCAGATATTTGGTCAAATACCAGTCTAGATAGTGCTCTGACAGAGTTTTTAAAGGTATGATTAATGTTTAAATCAGTAAACTCTGAGTAAAACAGATTACCCTTCATAATGTGGGTGGGACTTATCCAATGGGCTGAAGGACTTCAGAGTAGGCAAATCCAGAGAGACAGAAAGTAGGTTAGAGGTTGCATACGCCTGGAAATGGAGGAATAACAGCTTGGGTAAAAATAGGGAGGGACTGCTAATGGGTATAGGGTTGTTGTTTTTTTTGAGGTGATGAAAATGTTTCAAAATTAGACTCGAGTGGTGACTGCATAACTGAAAATATACTAAAAAATATTCAATTGTTCTGAAACCTGAAACTATTAGGAGACAGAGCTAAGAACTTAAGCCTCTAACCAACCAAACATATCCATCAGAATGGCTTTTCAAAGAAATCAACCTTTTAATATCCGGAAGTTTTATTTCTAACAATAAGAATTCACTATAGAGTCAAAAGTAAATGTAGTATCATTTTTAAGTTACAGTGGAATAGCTTTTAGCTCATTAATTTTACACCAGTGCCATAGGAGAAGTCTATTATTAGTACAGTTTTCTAACATACATTCATAAATTACATAAGTTGTTTTATTCTTTGTGTAAATACCTTGTAACCAGGACTACCCATTAATCCATCCTTTCCATGTCGTCCTGGTTCTCCCTGAAAAATAAATACATTTATTTTACTATATTTTGCAACAATTTTAAAGAAATATACTATCAGATAATTTTTATTCAAAGCAAAATATGCAAGAACTTTTCCTATTGAACTCACAGCACGTCCAGGAAGGCCAGGAAAACCAGCATTTCCCTTTTCACCTTTTGCACCCTGCATGAAAAAAAGAACACTTAAAAAACAATCCTTACAATACTCTCTTAAACTTCCAACTCAAACTTAAGTAGGAAAGTAAGTTAACCTCATTATGGATTGACAGAATTCATGGAACTACCATTTGTGTTGGCTTTGCAGCTTATTGGCGGAGTATTATTTTATCAGGCCAGCGGACAAAACAGACATTGAAAATATTGATGGATGCAGAATTATTACAAGCATCGAAACACAGAAGCCACATCTTGGAAAAATTAGAAAGGCGATGAGTATTTATTTTTATTTTTAAATATATTTTCATTGATTTCAGAGAGGAAGGGCGAGGGAGAGAGAGATAGATGAGAGAGAATCATGGAAAATTAGAAAGGCGATGAGTATTTATTTTTAAATATATTTTCATTGATTTCAGAGAGGAAGGGAGAGGGAGAGAGAGATAGATGAGAGAGACTCATTGATTGGCTGCCTTCTGCATGACCCACACGGGGGAATGAGCCTACAACCCGGGCATGTGCCCTGACCATGACTTCCTGGTTTATAGGTCAATGCTCACCCACTGAGCACACCGGAAGGGCAGCAATGAGTATTTTTAAATATACAGAGAATATAAGCTTCCTTCAATGTGGAGAAACAGGAAGGCCCATAAATCAATTGCCAATGGAGCTGCAGCTACCCACTCTCAAGGAATCTCTCCCTATAATTATTTTAAAAGTTCAAAATGATCAATAAGACAATGTATTCTTATAGAATATCATACAAAATAATCACCAGTTATTATTTCATTTTCTCATTGTTTTTAATAAGTCTCCTGAGAAATATGAATAAAACTAATTGCTATAATGGTGGGCTGGGACCAAATTCAAGTTTTCTATTTCCATTACATTGAAAGTTCAAAATGGATACTTTGTTTTGTGATCAATACTTCCCTTTTTGCCATAAAATCCAGGTGATCCTTTATCTCCTTTGCGGCCCATTTCACCCTAGAAGACAAAATACAAATATTGTATTTTAGAGATATATGAATATTTTCCTCAGAGATTAAATAAAAGCAATACCAATCATAAAAAAAGAATTTAATATGCCAACATCAAAATAAAATAGAAATACAATATTTTAAACTATGCTTACAAAAGTTGTAGTCTCCAGGTTTTATAAAGAAAAACAAGGAAAAATAAGGACAGTTTATACTATAACAGGGCTTACACAATAGGATTTATAGTTAAGAGAATTTCTATATAGTAAAGCTCATAAATTTTAAACACTTCAATATTTATGACTGGAAATTTTAAAGAATGTTGGAAAAGCCTTGTGAACTATATTAATCTTAACTGAATCATTTACTTTAACATGATAAATAAATGCTTTATATATGAGCATTTATTTATAACACATTTGTGATATAAAGCTTGAAATCTGAAACAATATATGGCATTGCTGAATTTAAAAAGACCAGACTTCTTCCACCTTTGATCCTGGCATTCCGTGAAGCCCAGGAAAACCAGGAAGTCCACGGTCACCCTGAAAAGAAAACTGAAATTAATAAAAGAAAACACATTTCAGCCTAAAAAATAACAGCATATATTTTTCAACATTATTCTTTTCGAAATCCATTGAAAATAAAACTTTGAACAGTTAAATGCATATCTACACTAAAGCCCTCTATCTCTGAAAGATTAATGTTCATTTATCCTGTAATCCAATCCCCACCTTCATTTCTCCCACCTGCACGCAATCTTCCTTATGTTCCCTTCTTAATTTCAAATGCAAAAAAGAAGCTGTAAAACTGTTATAGTAGGGAGCGTTTGAGATCTTGTTCTCTAGCATATGTAGTCAGTTTGGCTCAAATAAACTTATAAAAATTTGCTACAGGTTTGAATGTTTCTTAAGTAACAAATCTATTCACCTTTTACCATCCTATATAATAAAAGGCTAATGTGCAAATTGTCCCCTCAACCAGGAGTTCGACCAGGGGGCAGGGCCAGCCGGCCAACTGCCTATGGCCCCTCCCCTTGGCCAGTCCCACCCCTGTTCGGCCCCTCACCTCGATCAGGGTGGGCCAGCCAGAACCCCCCATGCACTAATTCGTGCAATGGGCCTCTATAAAATATATTTGTATCTGGGAACATAGCTGCTCAACTAAAGACTATATTTCCCAATCTCCTTTACAATTAGCAACAGCCATGTGACTAAATTCTTGCTAATAGAATGTATATAGCACTATGATATGCAACTTCTACATCATTGATTAAAAAGAAATTATTGCCATAACTTTTCTTTCATTCTTCCCATCAGATTAGAATGTATATGTGATAGTGACTAGTGCTATAGCCTTGACTATGTAGAAGAAAACATGCTAAGAGAGATTAGAACAAAAAGAGGAGAAAACATGAGTCCCTGAATGAATTCTTAGACAATGAATTACATAAAAAACATCTTTCTCATTTATGCCACTGCATTTTGAAGTGTGGGGAGGGATCTATTTTTTTTCAGTATAAACAGGAATATAATTTTTTTTAAAAAATCTACATTTTATTTTATTTTTTTAGAAAGCCAGGTGTTTTATTATTTATTTATTTATTTATTTTAGAGCAAAAAAGGGAGAGAAAGAGAGAGTTTACCCTTGACTAATTTTTCACCAGAGATCAAAAACAATCTGAATTATGTCTGTGTGCGTGTATGTGTTTGTGTGTCAGAGAGAGAGAAGATCCACTAAAAGCCCATATATTCTAGAGTTTGTCAACATAAGAAATATTTTTATGAGTTTATTTAAGCCACGCTGCCAACACACAAGGAATCAAGATCTCAAATGCTCCAGAAAATGATAGTTTTGCAGTTTCTTTTGTACATTTGGAATTAGGAGGTAAAGTAAGGAAGATTGTGTAAAGTTGGGAGAAAGCAAGGAACAAGTTAGTTAACAATACCATGTGTTCCATTAAGGGTGGTCATGACACCCAGGGGTCTAAAAAAGAGACTACTCTGGCATTTCAAAAGTGTGCTAGCTAGATGCACAAGAACAATGGACAGGACTTGCTTAAGGCAAAGATAAACCTTTTAACAGGGTTTGGTCTTGATTTCCACCATGACCTACAGAGTTAGGTATTTGTGATCAGATCACCCTATGAGGTTATTTTGGTCAGACTTATTACCAGACTAGAGGCATGGTACATGAAATTCCTGCACTTGAGAGGGAGGGTTCCTCAGCCCGCCTTGTGCCCTCTCGCAGTCCAGCACTCCTTGGGGAATGCCCATCTGCTGGATTAAGGGGATCGGGCCTAAGCCAGCAGTCTGACACCCCTCTTGCAGTCCGGGACCCCTTGCTCTTTACAGCCTGCCAGCAGTGCAGGCGGGAGAGGCTCCCGCCACCACCGCTGCTCTCGCCAGCTGTGAGCCCAGCTTCTGGCTGAGCAGCACTCCCCCTGTGGGAGTGCACTGATCATCAGGTGACAGCTTCTGTGTTGAGCATCTGACCCTTGGTGGTCAGTGTGCGTCATAGTGACTAGTTGTTCTGCCAGTCATTCAGCATGTCGGTCGATTTGCATATTAGGGCTTTATTATATAGGATTCCCTTTTCATCCACAACCTTGTATCCCCAAAACTCAACAACTTAGCCAAGCAGAGGATAAAAGAAAAGGACAAAGAATTTAAGGAGCCACCAAGAGACATAATAAAACTGGATGATTTTCTTTCTCTATCCTGTAGACTCCTAATACAAGAACCAAAACTATCTTTTGAATATATTTTTTTCATTTTGTTTGAAGCAGGAGGGAATGGTAAAAGTTCCTAAAGAAAAAGCAGACCAGTAACACTTTCAACAATAAAGATTTTTTTTAAGTTACTAGAGAGAGAGAAGAAATTGAAGAGAACAACTGAAGTTAACTCTTCAGAAGGCTGAAATGAGATAACTAGGCTAAATTAAGATCCAGTTGACAAAATGGAATTTAGCTGGGCATTAAATATTTGATAAAACTACAGAAGAAAGGGGCAAACCAGGACTTTCTATTAAGACTAAGCGAAGTCCCAGCTAAGACTTCCATTCTCTGCCTAGAAGTTATAAGAGATATACGTTTAAACTTTAATTTCCTGGAATGACAAACAAGGCTCAGATACAGTGAGGAGCCCAGGAGCATATTCATCAACATTGGGACAAAAAAATATAAACTATGTACATAAAATATGTACCTTCATGTACATGAGCAAGATTTTTAAGTAAAATAAAAAGGCATGTTAGCCATATTAACATCCAGCAGTTAAGGGGGCTGGGGAGAAAAAGGGGAGCAGAGAAACTTACTGAACAAAATGGTTGGGAATATTGAGATAGTATCTACAAAATATAAAACACAAGAAAGTGTGATCCAAACACATTATACTCAGCCAAGTTCTGGTCAAGGTTTAAAGGTAATTAGTAGCAAATGCGGTAAAGTTTATCCACAATGGGCATGTAATGTGAAAGACAAATAAATGTTCTTGTGTTGGTCACTGAGCCATTGGGTCATCTGTTACTGCAGCATAGTGTAGCCTAAATTAACTAAAAAAAAAAAAATTGGTATAGTAGAAAGAGGAGGCTGCCAAAACATCAATATAAAAAAATATATATGGCACAGTTATGTAGTGAGCAGTGAAAAAGTTATTGGAGGCTGGAAAAATATTTATTCATGTAATGCTATGGTGAATATTATATTTAAATTTTTTCTTAGAATAACTTGCAAAGGCAAATGATTCATCAAGTGAACTTATAGCTAAGAATAAAGAACTGAGAGAACAATGTTAGTATCATGAATTGACTGGTATTGCCTTAATTTAACAAGGTATTATAAGAGGTGAAAAGAATTGGCCAGTTTCCAAGTAGTAAGTAAAATAGACCACATCCAAAAGTACTGGGATTAGATGATGCAACTTTTTCTTCATTTCCAACAGATAAAGAAGTTCAATTAAAACTCAGCCTCTGTGAAGGATCAAATCAAGGGTATGAGTATAAGTAACCTTCTTAAATTTTCTAAATCAATTAAGGTGGATCCACCAATAAGTCCTTTCAAGCTGGACATAATGGCTAGAAAAAGAAAAAAAAAAGAAGCTAAGGATAGCTCTAGCTGGTTTAGCTCAGTGGATGGAGTGTTGGCCTGCGGATAGAGTCCTAGGTTCGATTCCATTCATATGCCCGTGTTGGAGGCTCAATCCCCAGTGTGGGGTGGGCAGGAGGCAGCCAGTCAATGATTCTCTCTCATCATTGATGTTTCTATCTCTCTCTCCCCTCTCTCTGCCTCTCTGAAATAAATATATATTTTTTTAAAAAAGAAGCTAAGGATGTAGGTAATGTCTGATAAATTCAAGTCACCTATTATTAATTATTAATAATTAATGTAGAGAGGACCATAACTAATATAGGATTGTATGTTTGTGTTGGTTCTTTTTGTTTGTTTTTGTTTTTTTAATCCTTACCTGAGGATATTTTTCCATTGATTTTTAGAGAGAGTAGAAGGAAGGGGGAGAGGCAGATAGAGAGAAATATTGATGTGAGAGAGACACATCAATTGGTTGCCTCCCACATGCACCCCAACAGGGTGAGAATTGAGCCTGCAACCGAGGCATATGCCCTTGACCAGAATTGAACCCAGGACTCTTCAGTCCTCAAGCTGATGCTCTATCCACTGAGCCAAACTGGATAGGGCAAGACAGGACTATAGATTCTGGTAATGGCTGGAATCAAAAATAAAAGGTACACAATTACAAATACATGTATGCCGTTGATAAAGAGCCACAAACATGGACTAAAAGTGACTGACTGTTTGAAAGTTAAAAAGTAAAGTTGCATAGTCTTTACACTATTTTTAATGTTTTTATAGCCAGTTTTCACTAGCCCACAAATTTTGACAAAATATAGAAAGAAGATAAAAACTACAAGAAAAAAAATTATCTTTATTGATGATTATACATTTATTATGTCTAATATCCTACAAAAGTATAAACATTAGTTAATTGTTTTTTAAAAATTATTAAAAGCAGTATTTTATATATAACAATAATCAATATGAAAATATATTTAAGTAAAAATCCAATTTTTAGTAGGAAAAAAAAGAGATAAAAATTCCTAGATATAAAACTTAGGTAATGTTGAAGACCAGTACAAAAAAAAAAAACTTTAATATTATTCCATTGAGATTCAAGATTAAATAAAAAGATAAATCATAATTTTGAACAGGAAAACTCAGTATTGAGATTACATCAATGCTTATACAGTTTATTCATAAATTCAAAGGAATCCTAATTAAAGTATGAATAAGAATTTCTTAAAAAATTGGAGAAAAGATACTGAGCTTTATCTGGAAAAATAAGCCTGCAAGAATAGCCAGGAAAATTTTAATTGTATGAGGAAGGACTGCCAATATTAAATTGCATTATGAAGTGACAATAATTAAAAACAACTTGGCAGTAGAGAAGATGAGTGAAACACTATGGAAAGCCCCAAACACCAGACCCCAATTAAAATGGAAATTCAATGATAATGGTTTTTCAAAAGATGG